AGCGCCATCAACAGGTCAACATGTTAATGTGTACAACACTTTGGTTTATGACCAAACACCTGCAGCAGTAAAGACATTCCCATCACCCTCAGCTGTAAGCTGTGTTTACTGCTAATTAGCTAATGTTAGCATTCTAACACGCTAAGCTAAGATGGTGAACATGGTAAACACATGGGGGATAAGTGAGAGTTTAAACAGTGAAGCCAACCAAAGCTTTCATGGAGCGTTCCATATAAAATCTAAATGACGTCATTAACATGTGTCACATTTTACCTAGGTTTGGAATCAACACCAAATTTGGGGTCAGCCCGGTGCCCCATGGTCGTGCCACATAAGTTTGGTGTTGGTCTGCCTTTCCAAACCTAGGTAAAATGTGGCATGGTTGGAAATCCTATTCATTTCAATGGGATTTTCCACGGCCTTTCAGCTTCGATTATAGCGCCACCTAGAATCCGAATTGAATAAAAATTTTCAGGTGTCATCACAGGCCCATGGGGAAGAATTGACCCAAATTTTCAGTAGCATCAACTAGGGGCTAAATGTACCAAATTTTGCACAGTCCCTCAGGGGGCATGCCACATAAGGTCCTCAAGTTTTGTGTTGATCAGCCTTTCCATGCCAGAGATATGTTATATTTCATGTTTTTAGCATTTTAGCAAATATTTGTTAGCTTGTAATTGGGACATTTTTTGTCAGATCAAAATTCCTTCTACAAACTTTCTTCAGCTCGGTCCAAAGATGGTCCGTGCTACGGTGGTTTGTGGACCACCGTACTGAAGCCCGCCATGTTGATTTTTTTGCAACCAGCAGCACCGGACATGACTGTATTAGGACAAGAGTGTCAGGGTTTGGTATGGGTGAAGCAGGTAGTAGGTTGGAGGACCCAAATGCAGGACACGAAAGCCAGCAGGAACAGTTCAGAGGGGTTTTAATAAGCAAACAAAAGACGAGCACACTTACAACAGAGTGGCTGATTGACTGAGTCCAAAAACAAAGGCTGTCCAACAGAAATCCAAAAGGGTGAAAACCAGAATCCAAAAATGAGCAGGGTAACAGGGAGACACGGCGAGTAAGGCTGAAGACACGAGAACAAACTGCAACACAGGGTGACAACATACAATGACCCGACAAAGACAAGACAGAAACACAAGGTATATATACACAGGGACTAATGAGCAGGGCGGGAGCAACACAGGTGAAAGACATGAGGCTAACGAGGCACAGGTAGGGAGAGAGAGAGAGTGTAGGGGAAAACAGAGACAGACATGCAGAGTGTGACAAAGAGGGTGGAACTAGCTAGCCTGGTTAGCTAACTGCAGCTGTAATTCACATTAACTGTGATTTTAACCAGGATGCTAATTTTGGCTAGCGACAAACAGGCTTAAAACAAAATGTTCTTACCGGGAAAATGACCAGCCGACTCCTATTAAGCTTTTCTGGTTAAATGTACACAGAGCAACGGATACGAGTCGCCTCTATCCTGATTGACAGGTCGCCATGGTATTGACTTGTCAATTAGCTTGTAGCCCCGCCCTAAAGCCTCCCCTGCTTCCTGGTCTCTGTTCCTCTAAACAGGACCCTAATTTACTAAATGAACATCACGCTGTGTTGAAGAAGACTTGAAACTAGCGACTGAGACCATAAACTCATCAGGAAAGTGTTTACGGAGGGAATAAATCAGCTGAGAAGTAGCAACATTTTCTCAGAGTCTTCTATACAATCACACTTCTTTCTGCAGCAGGTGGAGTCGCCCCCTGCTGGCTGCTAGAGAGGACGCAGGTTTAAGGCTCTTCAGCACGTGCTTCGCTTTTCAGACCTGGAGGTTCCCTTTTGGAAGTAGACCCCGGTGCCAAGAAAGGAAGTAGCCATGTAGTAACTATGACCAAACCTGGCTTCACTGCTCCCCATTCAAACCCACAGTGTTGCTTCGTCCAGTAAAATACTGTTCAAGGGTGAACACTATACTTTTGAAACATTAGCCTGTTAGCCTTGTTATCTTGAGCATGTTAGCATGTTGATGTTACATTTACTCTTTTGGCATGTGCTTTTATCCAAAGCAACGTACATTTGAGAAATAACACAAGCATCAATACAGCAAGAAATCTACAAGTGACAATAAATACTAGTAAGAGCTATTAGCACATACGGCATCAATGGTGTAAAAACCGAGGGCAAGAAGTAAGATTTAACAAACAGTGCAAACAACACACGAGTATTAGTATGATAGTATGACTGTAGACTATTTTAGTCTTGTTGCAAAGCTCTTGATTACTTTAAGATTAGTTCCATGTTTTGTCTTGTTGACAGTTGGGTGCCACATGTTGAGGCATTTCTTGCTGTGTTCTTGTGATACTGTACAGACCGTAATAAGATGCTGAACAGGTAAAAACACTTGCCTTATATATCTAGAGTGTCTGATAGCTACAGAATCTCTTGCTTGGTGACAGCTGAGTTCAGACTGACTAATAAAAAAACAGCCAATCAGATTACTGCAGTGATGTCTCAGACACAGGAGGCAAGACGTCCAGCAGGAAAGTTGAACCAGGTTACTTTTGTTGCAACGAATGCAGCATCCAGCAAAGTGCCAATCAGATAAGTGCAGTGTGCACAGGAATATACTGGTGTTTTACTTATACAGTCAGTCATGTAAACCAAGTCTTAATATTTGAAATGAAATTATCCTGTCGTCATATTAGTTTCAGTCCACGCACATTGACGATAACTAGCTGTTGTACCTGCTTTTCAGCAGTGGTTTTAATGACAACTGGAACTGGATCAATGAAAGCGTTCTAAAACAGCTTTGGAGAGGAGCTGCATTTATTCAGCTAGACGAGTCCTGTCGGTTCCTTCCTCTGGAAATAATCAAGCACTAAAATCACGATCAAAACAATCAAAGTTAATATGAACAGCTGGTAAAATAAAGTGACAACACATTGATTGTTGGAGTGTAAAGGAATTCTATAAACTTTATTTTTTGAATTGTATTTAACAATTTAGATGTAATGATAGGCTTTGAGAGTCGGGACACTTTTGGTTTAGGTAACTTGAAAGTGCTTGATTTTTATTCTGTAGCTGTATCTGTCTGTACTATAACTAACTGACTGTGACTTCAGTGTAAAGGCCAGTTTATACCTCTGCATTGAGACTGATAATGTAGAAACAGAGCAGCAGAGGTTCTCATGTTCTCATGTTCCCATGTCTTGCACCCGGCGCAAAGTGCAGCGCAAGTGTCATTGCTAGTTTTCAACCAACGCCAAGTGCCACGTTCTTTAAATAGCAAATGAACTTGCGCCCATCTGTGCGCCTGTAGGAGTGTTGGTCTTAAAATGGAAAATTGTTGGCGCATTTCTATCTTGAGGCAACAGAAAGTGATTGCACCATTGACCAAAAACAAACAGGTTGAAGTCAACAATATTTCACTGTTTACTGTACATTGTCTATGAAGATTCTCAGTCATCCAGGTCATAGATATCCAACGAAGGTTAAAATCAAGGGCAACTGGACTTGGTTGAAGATACTGGAAGACGTTTCGTCCCTCATCCAAAGGACTTCTTCAGTTCTGACTGACTGGCAGGGAAACTCAGCTATTTAACCTCAGTGGGGTCGTTGGCCCGGGTCATCGATACCACTGGTTCGTTAGTGTTCCTGGTTGCAGTGACGACAGTCGTTACAGTCGTTAAGACTACCGGTGGCCAAGACTGAACGACCATCGTTGGTATCTTCACCTGAGGCCAATAGGTTACTGTTGTTGAGTTTCCTGGGAAGAGATGAAAGGACAGCATTGTAAGTGGGGGATAAGTGGTCGCGTAGACCCCCTCCTCTGTTCAGCGACGGCCTTGACACCTCTTTCAAATCATCCATCTTCTCTGTCTAAAATGTGCATCTGGTGGTCCTCAAACGAGTGTCCTCTGTCCTTCAGATGTAAGTAGACTGCAGAGTAGAACTGAAGAAGTCCTTTGGATGAGGGACGAAACGTCTTCCAGTATCTTCAACCAAGTCCAGTTGCCCTTGATTTTTAACCTTCATTGGATTACTGTACATTACATTACTCTGATGATGAGAGTAACAGAAACGCTATGCGCATTTACTCATTTGGCACAGCAGCGTTACTTAATTCGTTATTAAAATCTCCAGACACGGCAACAGGATCGATCAGGATCTAATGTGAGATCATGCTGTGTGTTCTTCTGCACATCCAAAAGGTCTCACACACAGTCCTGATTCATACAGAGAAACTGTTTGGAGTAAAGCAGCCGTCCTCCTGATAAATCCTGAGCTCCATCAGAGGGTCTCAATTATTTCAAGTTGAATTCTGTTTCCTTTGTCATGTCACGTTCATAACTACAGCTTTTTTGTTTTGCTACTTAAATTTCCCACGACATTTGCTGTGACTTTCTGACAGCAGGCTCTCTAATCATGAAAGTAAACCGTTAAAGAAAACATTTATAGAGCAATGGAAGAGAGAGAGATGTGACCCACGACCGGTTCAACATAGTTTATAATAACCTCGCAGCGCAGTGAGGATCCAGACGTTTCTGTTAACAGACCCCAGAGACACTTCACTGATAAACCACTCTAGGCTTTTTATATCACAGCCACACTTCTGGGAGGGAGGAGGAGGGAGAGGGAGAGGGAGAGGGAGAGGGGAGGGAGGAGGGAGGAGGGAGGAGGAGTGGACTTTTCTGGGGCCAAAGAGTGTCAAGGGGCCAGCAGGGGAATTAGCTCAAATGGTAGAGCGCTCGCTTAGCATGCGAGAGGTAGCGGGATCGATGCCCGCATTCTCCAGGAGACTTTTAACCCTTTCTCCTCCCCTGTCTGATCTGAGATCAGTCCTGCAGCTACATGTTTAAAAATACAAAGTAATAATCAGCTTAATATGTTGTGGTAAAACATCAAAAGTACACATTATGCAGAAACACCATATTATTATAATACTGATAATAAGTACCCAGTAGGAAAAGCAGAGAGCCTGTTCTGATTGGCTGACATCTCTCTCTCAGGCCCATGTGACCGCCCGATTGGCCGGCTGGAGGCAGCTGCTGGACAGGATGAGCGGGAAGCAGAGCGAGCTAGAGGGTCGCCTCGACGACATGCTGTCCCGCATCGCCATGGAGACGCAGGAGATCAAAGAGTTGGAACAACAGCTGACTGACGGTGAGGAGGCCACTGGCCAATCACAGAGCCGCTCTCAAACTGGAGCCCTTTGATTGGCTGTCAGAGTCAGAGAGGCAAAGTTATAAAATATAACTCCTTCTCTTTGTTTCCTCCTTCTCTTTTCTTCTTTCCTTTCCTGTTTCCTTGCTTCCTCTCCTTGTTTTCTCTCCTCCTCCTCCTCATTGTCCTCGCCTCTTCTCTTCATGTTTCCTCCTTCTCTTTTCTTCTTTCCTTTCCTGTTTCCTTGCTTCCTCTCCTTGTTTTCTCTCCTCCTCCTCATTGTCCTCGCCTCTTCTCCATGTTTCCTCCTTCTCTTTTCTTCTTTCCTTTCCTGTTTCCTCGCTTCCTCTCCTTGTTTTCTCTCCTCCCCCTCCTCATTGTCCTCGCCTCTTCTCTTCATGTTTCCTCCTTCTCTTTTCTTCTTTCCTTTCCTGTTTCCTCGCTTCCTCTCCTTGTTTTCTCTCCTCCCCCTCCTCATTGTCCTCGCCTCTTCTCTTCATGTTTCCTCCTTCTCTTTTCTTCTTTCCTTTCCTGTTTCCTCGCTTCCTCTCCTTGTTTTCTCTCCTCCTCCTCCTCATTGTCCTCGCCTCTTCTCTTCATGTTTCCTCCTTCTCTTTTCTTCTTTCCTTTCCTGTTTCCTTGCTTCCTCTCCTTGTTTTCTCTCCTCCCCCTCCTCATTGTCCTCGCCTCTTCTCTTCATGTTTCTTCCTTCTCTTTTCTTCTTTCCTTTCCTGTTTCCTCGCTTCCTCTCCTTGTTTTCTCTCCTCCTCCTCCTCATTGTCATCGCCTCTTCTCTTCATGTTTCCTCCTTCTTGTTTCTTATTTGCTTTCCTTTCCCATTTTCTCTTTTCCTCTCCATGTTTTCTCTCCTTTTTCAAACCTCCCTCTCATTGTTTCCTTTTCTCCTCCTCCTCTTCTTCTCCCCTGTCCTTTACTCTCCCATTCCCTCCCCTACTCTCTTCTTCTCTGCCCCTATCCTCTTCATGTTTCCTCCCGTTTCTTCTCCTTCGCTATTGTCTCCTCTTCTCTCTTCTCTTCTCTCCTTCTCTCCTCTCCTTATGGTTCCTCTCCTTATGTCTCCTCCTCCTCCCCCTCCTCCAGGTCAGATTTTGGCTAATGAAGCTCTTCAGAGGGATCTGGAGAGCATCATCTCTGGACTCCAGGAGTACCTGAGAGGACTCAGAGAGCAGGTGAGACTCCATACTAACATTACAAACTCGCTCCTTTCCTTCAAACTGACCTCCGTCAGTCTCTGGGTCCCCCGCCACGGACCTCAAAACCTCCTCCTCCTGGCGATCCAAAGCTCAACATTTCCCCGGTGGCTCTGAGCTCCCACTCTGGGCAGAGTCAGCTAATAGGGCCGCTAGCTGCATGGCTAGCTGAGCTAAGTAGCTAATAGCAGCTACAGTTAGCAGCAGTTAGTGGGTGAGTAGGGTGTCTCTGCAGACCGGAGACTTGGCTGCTCTCACTATAGCCACAGGTGGAGAAACTCAGTCTGGTGGGGGGAACATGTCTGTTACTCCATCCGTCCCATACTTATTGCTAATAACTTCATATGCCAAGCCATGCAGCAGCAGCAGCAGCAGCAGCAGCAGCAGCTCTGAGCGAAGTGACTGATTCATGACAGATTGATGTGATGTGTCACAATCATATTAGAGGTTCTGTTGGCCAAAAGCTAACGTGGGTGGGAGTAATGGACACAAGAAGCTTGTTTAAGTAGCACTATTGGTCCTTATTTAGTGATATTCACTTAAAAAAATGTTTTAACTTATGTTGGTTTTCATAATTTAGTACTTTGAGAACGACTGCCATGGAGCTAGCGCACCAGAGACTTCCGCTTTATCCCTCCGCTAATTTAAATGAGGATAAAACCGAATGGATCGAATTCAGATGAATGGAGGTTGGGACATAAAAAAAAATAATCGTCTGTGTTACAGCTGCTTCCTACACACGTCTTTGTAATTATCCCAGCTGTTCAGTGTTTCCTGTCTGAACCTGCAGCTGGAACCGGTCTGTAAAACTTGTTTCCAGACCTCCAGCTGAGAGATGATCTGCGAGCTGTGGTTGTGTTTCAGGCTCGTCGTGCTCAGCAGCAGGTTCACAGTCTGCAGGCTGACAACCACAGTCTGCAGCTCCACCTGGAGGACACTCAGAGACACTGCAGAGAGCTGGAGGACAGCAGTAGGACTCACAGACAGGTGAGTGTGTGAGCGTCTCACAGGTAACATGTCGTTGATGTCTCCCTCTTTAGCGCTGTGTCTCTCTGCAGGACATGTCCACCAGGCAGGAGGAGCTGTCTGTCCTGCAGATGGAGGCCCAGGCTCTGAGAGACAGACAGGTGGAGAGCAGCAGACAACAGGTGGAGATGGAGGCGGAGCTACAGCAGCTGAGGGAGGAGCTAACACGGCAGGTGACACTGGGACAGGTAACGCTTCACGTCAAACATTGTTTATTGTAAATCTTTGAAACAAATGCTGTAAATTTTTTAAATTGTTTATCATTTCTTAAGCGGAATAATCCTGCTAATGGTGGTTACAGCAAACCAGCAGTGGTGGACAAAATACTCCAGTAAAAGTACTAATAAGCATAATAAATCAGAGAAAGGTTAGTTTTAATCAGGGGGACATGATACAGCACAGGGCACTGGCTAAACAGGTGAAGAGGGAACTCAAGCTTGCCAAGTGCGTATATAAAGAAAAAGTAGAAAACTTGCTGCACACTGGAAATTCACGTCCTGCTTGGGAGGGCATGAAAACCATACTGGGGTTGCTGTCCAAAACTTTTTCCATTACTTACAATGGATAAACCGACCTGGAGTTTTTATAATCTTTTTTTTAATATCCATGATTTTAGTGAGGAGACGTCTGTTTTTAAAAATGTTGGTTGTAATCCTGTAAATAATATTGTGCCCATTGATAAATTCATGGTCTTGAAACTCTTTTGTGGTGTAAAAGTCCAGGTCCCGATGGGATCGGGGGTCGTGTGCTGAAGAACTGTGCTGGCAGACATCTTCTGCTTCATCTTCCAGTTGTCTTTACAGCTGCATAAGGTCTCTTGTCTTTGGAAGGACTCAATAATTGTTCCTGTGCCTAAGATTCAAACTCCTAAGACCCTCAATGACTTAAGACCAGTGGCACTCACATCTCTTGTCATGAAAGCTGTCATGAAAGGCTAGTGAAGGATGCACTTTTGGACACTGTACAGGATAAGTTAGACCTTCTCCAGTTTGCCTACAGGTTGGGCAGAGGCGTGGATGACGCAACAGGGTCGCTTTTAAACATCTTGAGGGGGCCAAGTCCCTTGTCCACCTACTATTTATTGACTTCTCCTCCACTTTTAACTGCATTCAGCCCCATGTTTTAGCAGACAGGTTGAAGAAGAGTCATAACATTGATACTGGACTGATATTATCAATGACATTAATAGCGCTTGGTTCGTTAGTGCTTCTGGCTCTGTGTTGCTGGAGTCACCTGAGGAGTGTGAACGACCGTTGTTGGCGCTCTCCCAGGAGACTAAACAAGCACTCACATTTGGCCTCGTTGGAGGCTGTTTTAACATTTATTCCTAAAAACTTACTAGAAGCTATTTAAAAGCTACTAATACTCATTTGTCACTAGTAACTATTCGACTATTTACTAGTACCTATTCCAGTTTTACTAGTAACAATTGTTAAGAAACTAGTACTTAATTTATAGCTATTCCATTACTTACTAGTACGAATTAAACGTTACTATCAACAGGCCATTTTTCTAGTCACAAAGGAATGACCCAAACAAATGTACAAGACCCAAACACTGTACTAGTAAGAATCAAATGTTACAAGTATCTTTTGGAATAGTTACAAGTAACAAATGAATAGGTACAAGTATTTAAATAATAAATACTAGTAAAACCAAAATAGTTACTTGTAACTAATAACTATGTACTAGTGTCTAAATAATAGTAAAGTGGAAATGGTTACTAGAACTATTCAGTTAGTTACCAGTCACTTACACAAAGGTGATATCTGAACTGCAGAGCCCTGTAGTTTTCAATGGCAAAATATGCTCTGTTGTTACTGGTAAAACATGAGTAGTTACAAGTAAGCAATAAATAAGTACTAGTAGCTTTAAAATAACGACTCGTAAGTTTTTTTGGATGAAATGTTAAAAGGCTTGCCAAACATCAGAGGTGTGGTCGGACCCTCATACAAGATCTATGGAATCACTCTTTGCAGTGTGACATAGGTGAAGACACTGTGCTGCCCTCTATTGAGTAAAAGTGCACTGTTCATCAAAAGAGTGTACTGCAGTGCCTCCTGCTGGTTAGTCAGGAGCAGTAGTGGCAGAGCAGGCGATTTCCACAAGGCCGAGGCAGCCAGGTGGCCTGTTGTACTTTTATTTTCGAGATTGTTGCCTGTAAGTATTTTATTTAGCATTTTTAGCTTTTACAACAATAAATATAGTTGTTTTGCTTTTGTTTTGTGAAAAAACTGAACACTACTTCTTCTTCTAGGATTAGAAAACTGATAGCTAGCATAGCTGGGAGTGGTTAGCACAATGTTTTTTGTTTCTTCCAGTTGTGTCTTACTTGTGTATTGTTTATATTTCTAATTTTCATTTGTGCTTTTGTTACCGTTTTACAATATTCATTAAATAGGAAAGAAACGTTACACCTTGAGTTTATTTGAGGACTTCACACTGTTAGCTAACTGTCTAGCTTTGACAAACATGCTACTCATTGCGGGGACAGTTTGGACACCATGGCATGTTCACTGTGTGTGTCAGCAGTTGGAGCGTGAAGCTTTGCAGGAAGCTGTGGCCAAAGAGAAACAGACCAGAGAGATCAGAGAGTCTCAGCTACAGTCCACCATCGACACACTACAGGTCAGTACACACAGACACACACTTATTTGGGCACAGTGATGAGGTTTACATGGTTTACATATATATATAAAAAAATATAATATATATATATATTTCTGTCAGACAGCACATTGCTGTAGCTCCTCTTTTGTGTGTTGTGCATCTCACTTCTACTAGATCTTTGTTGGGAGTTGCACATGTGCGGTACCTGGGTAAGGACAACTAGCTGTGACTAACTGTGCACTGTTTATAAGTTTATACACAGGGTTCGAGTTATAATCTTGAGTTTCGTGGTGGTCTCTAATATGCTAACTAACATTACCAGCAGTGCGAGAGAGAGAGAGATCATTGCTTATTACGTGATTCAACATTTCCCTCTCTCACACACACGCCAACGCACAAACACATACACCTCAGTCCACTACTTGGCCCAGAGTGCCATCAGAGACTATTGCTCGAGGAGAGACGAGAGCCGGGACAATTGAAACATGGGACAAATAAAACACAGCGATACCTGCCTATACAAGTCTGATTTTCCAATCTACCTCAGCACATACAGTCCACAGTACTTAACTGAACTGGGAAAAATCAGGTGGATGTGTCACATACTGACGGAGTTACACAGAAAAGGCTGTTTTCAATCATGTAAAGGAAATTCACTCAAGCGGTCATTTTGGTTTTTTGAATGACGTTGAATTGCGTTTACTGTTTCATGTGCTATGGTCATTATCAAATGAAAGATTAGTTAGTTTAGGAGCTAGTAAATGTGCATTAACTGTTTGATGTTCTAAAAGTTGTATTATTATATTTTTTATTAAGAAAAAGGACAAAATATGTTTGCAATTACATATTAAGAAGGATACTGTCAAGCATTTTAAATAAAAAACAAGAATAACCTATATAATTTAAATGTATATCGATGTGTTTCATCTGTCCCACACAGTAGGGACGAATGAAACAATGCGCACCATCCATTCAAAGTCAAACCGAAACTGTTAAGGTAACAACAACAAGGTAACCTGGTATTATCATTATTTCTGCCTGTAACATTATCTTTTAAAATGACGTATTTCTGAAAAGTGTTTAATTCCTCCCAGCTCTCCCCTATAATATTAAAGTGTTATTTTACGCACTTCTGGCCGCCTCCACACAGTGGCAAGCATATTATCATATGTAGCGCTGTACTAATTGGAGGATGCATCAAAAAGCCAATAATACTGAACAAGCAGCAGCAGTCAATACAGAGTCTCATTCTAGTTGAACATGTTCGCGGGTCGCAGCCTCAACATGTTAGTTCAAAACTGTCCTGTGTACCATGGTGTCTGATGGTGGAGAAGTGCAGCCATCCTGTCAGTCATGTGGTGCAAAGCGTAGTTCATTAGAAAAGTGTGTTCATTTAAGTCTGTTTATCTTGTTTAATGTAAATAATAGTAGGTTTTAATTACAATGAAAAACACATTATTTGTGATTCAAAATAATGGTTGTTGATAAATGAATTAGATGCAGGTTTTTACTGCTTCTCAGACCCTCCTTATGGGACATGAGCTCCCACTGGCTCCCACGTATTTCGAACCCTGTTTATACATCACTGTAACATCTTTATGTCCACTGACTGCCTGGAGGGTCGTTATTAGCCACACAAGCCGCTATGTGAGCATTATGTTGCGTGTTACGAGTGGCGCAGATTACAGGTTACTAAAGTAAAGGCTGGACTACAACCCAGCTGTGTTCAGTTCAGGAGCAGAGTTTTTTTGTGGGAGATGAGAACACAATAAAGACACAATAAAAAGGAAAGAGAATGAGTCTAAAAGCAGAATATGACCTCTTTAAAGCTAAAGAAAGTTTAACATGATATTTGTTTAGCCAAAGCACATAAAGAAAAATAGTAGCACACACAAACACTGATGGGCAAGTTGGTCAAAGTCTAAAAATACAATCGGTACAAAGATCAATAAATATGATGAGACACAACCTGAAACAATCAGAAACATCGACATGAAACAAGACCTGCTGATAAATCCACAGGTTTGTGTTGATGTGAAAAGATACCGTATGCAGTATTTTTGCACATACTTGTTAATTAATCTGTATTTTTTTGCACTCTTTTTTCCATTAGTGTTCATTTTTTATCTCTTTACTTTATATATATATATATTTATATTCATGTGTACTGTTTAGCACCAATTTATACCACGGAAAATCCCTCATAAGTGAAAATGTACCTGGCAATATCTGCAGCCTTGTGTCGTCTCTCTGTCTGCAGGATGAGAACTCATCTCTTCAGCTCGTGGTCCAGAGACTCCAGGCCCGACTGGACCTGACCAGAACCCAATATAAAGAAACCAGGAACCACGCAGACCAGACCAGAATTCAGCTGGACCAGATTACAGCTGCCTTGTTGGATCCTCAACAGGAGCTGGAGGAGGACAAGTACAGGTACTAGTACTGCAGTACTCCTACAGTATTCCACTCTGATTATCTCATACTACACAATCATGTTTTCTTCACTTTAATAAACTGACCATCTGAACTGGAGTCAGATTATTAGGCTATATTAAATATAGATTAGATTGAACATGTTTAAAAACAGTCAAACACTAACCCACATGGCCCTAGACCAACCAATCACAACAAAATGGAGGCGGGGTTTTGATCTGCATGAGTTCGAGCTAATGAAAAATAAAGCAGTAACAGAGTTTCAGGAGGCGTGTCTGACAGATGAGATACGTCCAGTTTAAACCAACGCAGCTGTTCACTGCTCGGGTTTCACATGCACTTCATGCACATCGCTTCAACCCCAAATCTTCACTCTACAGAAATATATAGTGCTGCATGCGTCATGGTTTGATATTGTTGTGTAGAAAGACATCATTTGTCCTCAGCTCACTAACTGGTGACAGTTTCGTTGTTCTGATGGTTTTTTCTTTAGTACAGTGTCACATCTGCTCTGTTTGTAACTTCAGCAGTTTTCTTACAAAAGAACTTACTTTAAACTTTGTCCATGTGAAAAAAATCATCTCGACGAGGATGGGATTCGAACCCACGCGTGCAGAGCACAATGGATTAGCAGTCCATCGCCTTAACCACTCGGCCACCTCGTCTGCTACATGTATCTGCTGGTGACGTGTCTGTAGGTCGGTCCACCACGTTGGTACAGACTGTTCATTATGAAATGACTTTACATCCGGCGCCACCAGCAGCTCAAAGTTTCCAGTGAAATCTCTGCACTGTGTACAGCTGGTATTCAGAAAGTGAGACAGTGCAGCTGAGCAGAGGGAGAGACACAAGCTGACCTTTGGAAGAAGAGTTAGAGAATCAGCTGTAGAGCTCTTGTTTAGCATGTGAGAGTCAGGCTGCCTCAATATTTAGAACAAACTCTGAATAAGTTTGTCTTTATTTTGGTTGTATACCAAGAAGAGCTGATTGTCACTGATCTTCATCAGAGAAGAAAGGGTTAAAAGCCTTCTGGAGAATGCGGGCATCGATCCCGCTACCTCTCGCATGCTAAGCGAGCGCTCTACCATTTGAGCTAATTCCCCTACAGAGTCAAAGAGCAGTTCATGTAAAATGAAATGTATGTGTTGAGGAGTAAACACTTCTGTTGGCTTTAAGGTTGCATCTTCTCTGCAAACAGTTGAATTATTAGGGCCCGAGCACAAACCGTGCGAGGTCCCGATTGAAACTGAAGGGATTGTTTTTATGCAAAGTAACCTCTATTTTGGGGGCCTAAAAAAAGGGTTGAAAGTCTCCTGGAGAATGCGGGGATCGCTCTCGCATGCGAAGCGAGCGACGCTACCATTTGAGCTAATTCCCCGGCATAACTAGGTCCGTTCTTCCACACGTGTTAAGAACAGGGATACCATGGTCCTTAAACCAGGTACTGGTAGCTTTGGCACTGTGTGCAGGTGCCAAGTCCTGTTGGAAAATGAAATCTGCATCTCCATAAAGTTGGTCAGCAGCAGGAAGCATGAAGTGCTCTAAAACTTCCTGGTAGTCGGCTGCGTTGACCTTGGACCTCAGAAAACACAGTGGACCAACACCGGCAGATGACATGGCACCCCAAACCATCACTGACTGTGGAAACTTTACACTGGACGTCAAGCAATGTGGATTCTGTGCCTCTCCTCTCTTCCTCCAGACTCTGGGACCTTGATTTCCAAAGGAAATGCAAAATTTACTTTCATCAGAGAACATAACTTTGGACCACTCAGCAGCAGTCCAGTCCTTTTTGTCTTTGGCCCAGGCGAGACGCTTCTGACGTTGTGTCTTGTTCAAGAGTGGCTTGACACAAGGAATGCGACAGCTGAAACCCATGTCTTGCATACGTCGTGGCGGTTCTTGAAGCTCTGATTCCAGCTGCAGTCCACTCTTTGTGAATCTCATTTTTGAATGGGGTTTGTTTCACAATCCTCTCCATGGAGCGGTTATCCCTATTGCTGGTACACTTTTTTCTACCACATCTTTGCCTTCCCTTCGCCTCTCTATTAATGTGCTTGGACACAGAGCTCTGTGAACAGCCAGCCTCTTTAGCGATGACCTTTTGTGTCTTGCCCTCCTTGTGCAAGGTGTCAATGGTCGTCTTTTGGACCGCTGTCAAGTCAGCAGTCTTCCCCATGATTGTGTAGAAGTAGACTGAGAGACCATTTAAAGGCCTTTGCAGGTGTTTTGTGTTAATTAGCTGATTAGAGTGTGGCACCAGGTGTCTTCAATATTGAACCTTTTCACAATATTCAAATTTTCCGAGATACTGATTTGGGGGTTTTCATTAGTTGTCAGTTATAATCATCAAAATTAAAAGGAATGAACACTTGAAATATATCAGTATGTGTGGAATGTATGTATACATTATACAAGTTTCACTTTTTGAATGGAATTACTGAAATAAATCAACTTTTTGAGGATATTCTAATTTTATGACCAGCACCTGTATTTGTGACATGGCAGACTAAAGTAAACTATACTGCGACGAGGATGGGATTCGAACCCACGCGTGCAGAGCACAATGGATTAGCAGTCCATCGCCTTAACCACTCGGCCACCTCGTCTGCTGCGCGCTTGTTTTTGCAGTGAAAGTCGAATTCAGGCCACTTACAGTTGGTTTTGTGTAGTTTTGGAACGGCGTGGTATGGAGGGGAGGCAGAGGGGACGAGTGAGTTGTCTTCCCCTCACACAGGGGAATTAGCTCAAATGGTAGAGCGCTCACTTAGTTCTTGTGTCTCGTCTGGAGTCCAAGACCACAATGAGGCTCTTTGCACCACCTCAACTGAGAACTGCCTGAAGACAACCAGTGGGTGGTTCTTCACAGTTTTGTCTTGTGTCTTTTCCTGGAGAATTTCCCGGTCACCTCCCAGGATTGTTTCATATGCCATAGTGAATTCCTTTTCCTTCACTCAAGCTCTGTGGAATACAGAAAACAGGGAAATTATAGAAAGTAGTGTAACCATACTCCTTAGTACACTTGTAATCAATGAAACATTTGATGTTTTATTGAAATGTCATGTGACATAGAATGTAACAAAACAGACTTTTACAGTTAAAGTCAAAGCCAGGTCCCTTTACGGGGTGTCTTAAAGAGGCTTTGTATGTCCGCTGCAATGGCGAGACTTGGAGCGGAGGGCACATTAATTGTCAGAGAAATGAATGAGTTGTGTAAAGACTCTGCACTCTGACAAACTGTTTTGCTTCTGTACCCAGAATAGTTAATAGTCACTGATCTTCATCAGAGAAGAAAGGGTTAAAAGCCTCCTGGAGAATGCGGGCATCGATCCCGCTACCTCTCGCATGCTAAGCGAGCGCTCTACCATTTGAGCTAATCCCCCTTCACGTTGAAGGATGCTCCACCAGAGAGCTGTGTTCTGACCATCAGTCTCTCCCTCCTGCAGACTGTGAACGTGGCTCTCCTGGAAAGTTTGTGTCTCAGAAAACAGACGAGCTCAAATGTTTCTAGACTGTTTCTCCGCAAAACTTGACTGATTCCTATTTAGTAGATAAGGTCAGAGAAAATCTTGTTCATGACAATACCTGTGGACTTGTACTTGAGTAAAGCTTTGGGTGCAGGACTTTCACTTGATGGAGTTTTAAGTATTTTTACTTTCACCTATTCAGTAGACTTCCTGCAATTCTGATAACACAAGTGTAGGGCTGTGCAATATGACGATATCTATCGTTTGGCGATAGAGAAACTTCTATCATTTATAATTATGCTCTATCGTGTACATTGTTCTGTCACAAATTCCACACTTTATAATATTGTGGTGAGGGAATGGCGATATGCATCAACGTGACGTTAGCTTTACGTTGGAATTCGACATCTATCAAATGTCCAACGTAAAACTAAAATCCAACTTGAAACTAACTTCACCGTCCGTTCTTCCACACGGGCCGGTGTGGCAGGGAAGAAATTTGCTTTAGAAATAATGGACAACCCTATCCAGCAGTGCCAGCAGTGATGTGTGTGTCAGTCAGGTAACGTTAAATGACCTGCCCGCGGACACACAGCTTACTTCATAGTTCACCAAGACATGCTGTTGTTGTGACGTTAGCTGTAGCAGCAGGAGAGTTCTCAGTATCTGGAGCTGCTGTCTCGTCTTCTCATGTTAGCTTTGCAGCAGCAAGTAGCGTCAGTTTGCTAACCCACAACCTAGCTAACATTAGTTACTTTACTTGCTGTGTTGTTGTTCACTCTATCTATGGTATTTGTCAAGTTACCTCACCTTTACAATGCAGAGAAATATCTCAAGTTCTAGTTGGAAACGTCATATTTCATTGAATTTACTAGAAATTTGGGGATATGAATTTTTTGTCATATCGCACAGAACCTACACGAGCGCATGCTGAGAAAGGGCAGAGAAGAAAGGGTTAAATGTCTCCTGGAGAATGCGGGCATCGATCCCGCTACCTCTCGCATGCGAAGCAAGCGCTCTACCATTTGAGCTAATTCCCCTACAGAGACAAAGAGCAGTTCATGTAAAATGAAATGTATGTGTTGAGGAGTAAACACTTCTGTTGGCTTTAAGGTTGCATCTTCTCTGCAAACAGTTGAATTATTAGGGCCCGAGCACAAACCGTGCGAGGTCCCGATTGAAACTGAAGGGATTGTTTTTATGCAAAGTAACCTCTATTTTGGGGGCCTAAAAAAAGGGTTGAAAGTCTCCTGGAGAATGCGGGGATCGCTCCCGCTAGCTCTCGCATGCGAAGCGAGCGACGCTACCATTTGAGCTAATTCCCCGGCATAACTAGGTCCGTTCTTCCACACGTGTTGTGGGGAAGACATTTGCATTACAAACAATGGACGAGCCACACAACCCTGTCCAGCAGTGCCAGCAGTGATGTGTGTGTCAGTCAGGTAACGTTAAATGACTGATATCGGGCAGGTGATCGATTTTCGCTGTTCTAGCTGTAGCTACGCCGTATAGTATAAATGCCTGTCTACGCAC